ATGGGGCCCGGAGGGGGAGGGTTATTCCAGAAGAAACGAGTCCGTGGCCACGCCAAGGAGAGGAAAATGGGAAAGTATGATAATATTATTGCAGCCTAGAGTGTCAAACGCAGCCCGGCGGGTGTCAGGTTTCTTCAGAGAGACGGGAAAATTGCTGCTGGGTGACCAGTCCCACAAAATTAGGAAAACTTCAGCACATGCTTCGGCAGTCCCACAGCACATGTAAATATGCAAATGGTTTTATGTGAATAATTTTTATGCGGGGCGAAAGGATGCTTAAGCTATTTGTGTGTACGTGTGCATATATATAATCTGTACGATTTGTTAGTTCTGTGAATTCTACTTAAGGAATCCTTCCCTGTAATCGATAATCTGGGTATTGCTGAAACAGCAGCTTCCAACATAAAACGTTGAAATTACATTCCATCTTATATCACCATTCAGCATCTCAAATTGATTGTTTCAACTCTCTCGCCCAAAAAAAACCCTCTAAACAAACCCAAAACAAAACAAATTGATCTGAATRTTCTGTAACTGAACATTTCTTTCTCAAAAACAAACATTTAAAAACCTTAACGCTGATTCAGCTTTTCAGCTGAAGACACCGCAGCGTGCAAAGCAAAGGTCGCCCGAGCCTTTTTTGAGCGCCGGGACGAGGTGGGCGAGCAGCCTCTGCCCCCGCGGGAGGGAGCCAGCGCGGGGGGGCCGAGGCGGAGCCGGACCGTCGCTGTCGCCGCTGGGCCGCCAGGCAGAGCCGAACGGCACCCTCCCCTTCACATAGCGTGGCCAAATTTGTCCCCGGAATTGTGACCCGAGTCGTGGAGCCGGGATGTCCCCTGTCCGGGGCGCAAGCACTGCGCTGGTGCGCGGCTCCTGCGCGGCGCCGAGGAAGGTGCGCGCCCCGTCCCGCACCCCCCGCCAAGCGCAAATTAGAAGTTATTTATTGCGCTTCGCTTATAGAAATTTCCCCCTCTCCGGTTGTCGTCTGAGAATAATATATGCAGCAGTTGTTAGCCTCACTCCAGGGAAAACTAAATGTATAACGAAAGCTTATTCGTGAGTAGGAATATACTAACGGAACAATCTGATGTCTTCTTAATCCTATGTAAAAAGCTCTGTAGTCTTCCTAATATTGACTGAATGGGTAATTAATGGCTCTTCATCGAGGAGAATACCCGGTAATCCGAGATAGGCGAAAGACAACAAGCCAAAGGTAAAAGACAACAGGACTAGTTGGAGGCTCTACATAAGAGCCAATTTATCCATTTAGGGGAGTATTACGCCCAGAAACAAAGATCTCATGAGGAGATAAAGGAAAAGTGGGAAAATAAATACSCGCAGTAGGTCTGGCCACCCTCCGGCACCCCCAGCCGAGCCGCTCAGCTCCTGGCCCTGCTCTCAGCGCTCCCGCCTTCCGCACCGGGGCGGGCACCGAGCATCCCGGGCGAGCTCAAAAAACACCTTGGAGAAAAAAAAGAAAAAGGAAAAAGGCAAACAAACACACACACAGGCACACACGAATAAACCCCAACTAAGCAAAAGAAAGAAAGAAAGAAAAAACCCCATACCAAAATTGCCACGAAATTAAAAAGGTGAAGAAGATTCCCAATTTTTCGCAGGCGGCGGATGCCCTACAGCCCACCGGGCTGTGTCCCCGATGAGCCCCGCAGCGCAGGGCGAAAAGAGAAGAGAGCAATTCCCAAAATTGTATTGGGTTTTTTTTTTTTTTTTTTGGTGATGACAGGCTCACGCAGCAGGCGCGGATAGTCGGTGAACTGGACGGAACCGCTTCGTGGCCAGGACCCGAACCCTAGAGGCGATGGGAGCTTCCACCAGAAAAAAAAAAAAAAAATTAAAAAAAAATTAAAACACTTGACATTTTAATTGAAACCTTTACCGCTAATATATTACCTGGGTGACTACAATTAGGTTGTTTTTCGGTTGGCTGACAGCTTTTAAAATATTATTTCACTTGGGAAATAAAAGCTTCATCTCAGATTATAGGTGGGTATTTTTGGATTTACGTGATTTATGGTCACCATGACAACTAATGCTGTGTGGTAGCTCCCCTCCTGCCCGGGGTGGGGGAGTTTTAATCAAAGGCACGTCAGGAAATGCCGACAGCCTCTCCCTTTGGGCTGCCGGGGCCCGGGCCAGTGTTGTGCGCTGCTTTTCGGGCGCGAGTTCGGCTGGAGGATCTGTCCCGCCTGTGCCTGTGGGACCCAGGGCTGGAGCTAGGGAACATATAAGAGGGCGGCGCGGTGGCCGGGCCCTGCTCCTCCTCTCCCTGCTCCCTGGGGGAGAGCACCGGGAACTTCCTGCCCCCTCCAAATGTCCCGAGACAGAGAGGCTGTGGCTGGCGGACACCGGCCATCGCCCTGCACGGGCATAAAACGCCTAAGAAACACTGCGCCCCGCAGGCGGGAGGGACTTTTCGTTTGGAGTCGCGGCGGAAGAAGCCAGCATTGCCCCAAAATTACTAAAAATAAAT